GAGAAGGTATTAATTTTACCATGATGTGTTTTTTTTTTTTATGTCTGTTGCCAATTTTTGTCAGCTCTCACTGGACCGATTTCTTTCAACAATACGTCAAAAGATCACAAATTGTATCTAATTAAAGACATTATCCTTAAAAATTGAAAAATTTTCCCTCGTTCCCCGCAAATGGGTGAAATATCCAAAAAAATTACAAATATAAANTCCCTCGTTCCCCGCAAATGGGGGAAATATCCAAAAAAATTACAAATTTAAAAATCGGTAAATTTTGTCATTTTTTTCACTTTTTTTTCTTAAAACTTCCATAACTTTTTCAAAAATCAATAAATCAACATAACTTTTTTTTTATACTAAAACCTNAAAATCGGTAAATTTTGTCATTTTTTTCACTTTTTTTTCTTAAAACTTCCATAACTTTTTCAAAAATCAATAAATCAACATACATTTTTTTTTATACTAAAACCTTAGATATTTTCTTTTCATTTGATATAATTNAAATTACAAATATAAAAATCGGTAAATTTTGTCATTTTTTTCACTTTTTTTTCTTAAAACTTCCATAACTTTTTCAAAAATCAATAAATCAACATAACTTTTTTTTTAAACTAAAACCTTAGATATTTTCCTTTCATTTGATATAATTTTTTTGAAAATCTAACACTTAACCTGCTCATTGGGGGGGATTTAAAATAGCAACTTTTTTATAAAAACTAACTTTTTCAACTTAATTTTTGAAAATGTTCCAGAAATACTGCGTCCTTTAAACATATATCAAATTAAATCTTATATAACTATAAAATGAAAAAAAAAAATTTGTCCCGACACTTAATCTCTGCATGTAAACGTCTGCCGTAGTTAAAAAAACGCTATTTTTGTGTTAAAATTTTCGATTTTAAATTTTCAACTTAAAAATGTTATAACTTTTCGAAAAATGTATGTATCAGCACACATTTTTTTTTTTCTAAATACATTATAAGTACATCTTTCATTTGACATACTTTTTATTAAAATTGGACAATTTCCCCTTATATAGCGGCCGTTCAAAACTTGAAATATTGTATAAAAAATAGAACTTTTTCAACTTAACTTTTGAAAATGTTCCAGAAATACTGCGTCCTTTGAACATATATTAAATTAAATCTTATATAACTATAAAATGAAAAAAAAAAATTTGTCCCGACACTTTATCTCTGCATGTAAACGTCTGCCGTAGTTAAAAAAACGCTATTTTTGTGTTAAAATTTTCGATTTTCGATTTTCAATTTTCAACTTAAAAATGCTATAACTTTTCGAAAAATGTATGTATCAGCACAATTTTTTTTTTCTAAATACATTATAAGTACATCTTTCATTTGACATACTTTTTATTAAAATTGGACAATTTCCCCTTATATAGGGGGCGTTCAAAACTTAAAATATTGTAAAAAACATAGATCTTTTTCAACTGAACTTTTGAAAATGTTCCGGAAATACTGCGTCCTTTAAACATATATCAAATTAAAGCTTATTTTATGTACTATAAAATGAAAAAAAAAAATTTGTCCCGACACTTTATCTTCTACATGTAAACGGTTGCCGTAGTTAAAAAAACACTATTTTTGTGTTAAAATTTTCGATTTTCGATTTTTAATTTTCAACTTAAAAATGCTATAACTTTTCGAAAAATGTATATATCAGCACAAATTTTTTTTTTCTAAATACATTATAAGTACATCTTTCATTTGACATACTTTTTATTAAAATTGGACAATTTCCCCTTATATAGCGGCCGTTCAAAACTTGAAATATTGTATAAAAAATAGAACTTTTTCAACTTAACTTTTGAAAATGTTCCAGAAATACTGCGTCCTTTGAANGGATTTAAAATAGCAACTTTTTTATAAAAACTAACTTTTTCAACTTAATTTTTGAAAATGTTCCAGAAATACTGCGTCCTTTGAACATATATTAAATTAAAGCTTATTTTATGTACTATAAAATTAAAAAAAAAAAATTGTCCCGACACTTAATCTTCTGCATGTAAACGTCTGCCGTAGTTAAAAAAACGCTATTTTTGTGTTAAAATTTTCGATTTTCGATTTTAAATTTTCAATTTAAAAATGTTATAACTTTTCGAAAAATGTATGTATCAGCACACATTTTTTTTTCTAAATACATTATAAGTACATCTTTCATTTGACATACTATTTATTAAAATTGGACAATTTCCCCTTATATAGCGGCCGTTCAAAACTTGAAACATTGTATAAAAAATAGAACTTTTTCAACTTAACTTTTGAAAATGTTCCAGAAATACTGCGTCCTTTGAACATATATTAAATCAAAGGTTATGTTATATACTATAAAATGAAAAAAAAAAATTTGTCCCGACACCTTATCTTCTATGTGCAAATGGTTGTCGAAATTAAAAAAAAATGTAATGTTTGCATTACAAGAAATATATATTCATATTAATATTATTTTACTATGTGTTTCTTTTTGTGACTACGATTTATTTTGCCAAACCTCACTAGACCTATTTTTTCAACGATACGTCAAAATGATTACATTTCGTATTTAGTTTAAGTTATTACTCTTAAAAATCGAAAAAATATTCCTTATTCAAGTAAAAAGTAGCTTAATCAGCTTTTTCCATACAAACAATTAAAATCATTAATTTCTAATATTCTTAAAGTATTTATTGTCGAATTAGATTTGATATGATAAAAGTATTCCACTACAAAAGTAAATAATTTTACTTTGTAATTTATTAATTTTTTAACTCTATTTGTGTGTGCTACTATAAAATTCCAATTTTTTTTTGTAATATGTTGCTATATAAATCATAAATAAAAAAAAAAATTATTTTTGGTTTCACCTGAATTTAACGATGGATTTTTACAATTATAATCAAATTTTATAATACGTTCAATTGAGTAAATCTTTTTAACATCTTTGTTTTGATTGGTTCATTTAGTTAAAGTAAATAATCAAAATTAATTAAGTTCTGAATATTAATATTTCAATTGCAGAATCTTTTTAAACGCCAAAAGTTATTAGGAAATGATTACTATTTTTTCTATTTCAGTTATCTATTACGATAAAATTGTAAAAAAATCTAACTTTTCTGATAAATGTACTCTAAATAGTAATTATAAAATTCCCTAATTGCATATTAATCTTAACAATTTCATTTTTTTCTATGTAATAATGTCAATTTCAAACTTGCAGGTTAAGCTAAATGTTATAGTAATAAATTCATTTTTTTTTATTAAAACTTTCACTTTAAAAGACAATAAAAAGTAGGTTCAAAATGATTACTTTTAACATATTAAAAATCAAAATCAATAATAATTTGAAAACAATTAATTTTAAAAATTATATAATAAATAATTATAAGAATTACTAATCTGGGTATAATTAAGGAAATTGAAGTTGATGTTGCTTTTGTAATTATTCATCAATTTCTTAGAATTAAACACTATCTACAGATTTGCATCGAAGCGTTTTTTATGATAGTGATTTTAATCACTGTCAGATTAAATCTATACTGGACCCAACTATGCAACGTCCCCACTATGCCGCCACCCTACTGTGTTGGGTTTTTTTTTTTCATTTAATTAATTTTAGTAGGAGATGCCATCGTCCTGTCGTCCAAGCCACGAGCCGCCAGTGCTAATATTAAAACAGCAATAGTAACACAAAGCGGTGGAAATATAAAAATAAAAACCCAGCACAGTGGGGATGAGACATAGTTTGGTCAAGTATAATGATATCTGACAGTGATTAAAATCACGATCATAAAAAACGCTTCGATGCAAGTCTGTAGATAATGTTTAATTTTAAAAAATTTTAATTTCGTTAATTTCGACAGCCATTTTCTTATAGAAGAAAAGGTGTTGGGACAAATTTTTTTTTTGAACTTATTGCATTTATTGTAAGATTTAATTTGAAATATGTTTAAAGGACGCAGTGTTTTCAGATCATTTTCAAAGTTTAAGTTGAAAAAGTTCTACTTTTTACTCGTATTTTTAAAAATTTAAACCCTGTCTGTATAAAGAGTAGTGGTCTGATTTACAAAAAACGTATATCGGATGAAAGATATATATATATAATTTAATTAGAAACAAAAATTTGTATTGATCCATACATTTTCATAAAGGTATAGTAATTTAAAGTTGAAAAAATAAAATATGAAATCGTAAATTTTAACACCAAAATTGCATGATTTTTAACTACGCCAACCATTTTCACATTGAAGATAAGTCATCAGGACGAAATTTTTTTTTGAACTTATAGTACTTAACATTAGTATCATTTTAACATATGATTGAAGCTTTTTCAAAACCGGAACATTTTCAAAACGTCAGCTGAAAAAGTTAAATTTTTGTGCAGAAGTTGCTATTTTGAATCCCCCCTGTTGGCAGGTAAAGGGTCAGATTTTCAAAACATTTATATGAAATGAAAGGGAAATTTCTAAGGTTTCAAATTTACTGATTCTAAAAATCGTAATTTTTTGGGGGAATTTCTTCAACTAGATACGATTTGTGATTTTCTGACGTATTGTCGAGTAAAATCGGTCCAGTGANGGGGAATTTCTTCAACTAGATACGATTTGTGATTTTCTGACGTATTGTCGAGTAAAATCGGTCCAGTGACAGACACAAAAAAAAAATAAATAAATAAATAATAAACACATCATTGTAAAATTAAGACCTTCTCAGTTTCGCATCGAAGCTAAAACATTTAAAACAAGATTTAAAAAATTCTACTATTATCTACGTATTAATACGTAAATAAAATACATTTTTTTTTTTTGAAAAAAAAAAAAATTCTTAAGCATTTAATGGATGTACTATTAGAAATTTATAAAATAGAATTCAATAAAACAAAGTGCATGACATAATATATTTGTAAATAATTGTTAGCTATTTACGGAAGCAATAACGTTTTTCTATTATTAACTAGTTATAGTATAATAGGTTATATTAAAAAATAAATGTGTAAAGCAACTTAAAAAGCACGATCTCTTAAATGTATTAACACGTATGTATTTGATTAAACAAACTATTCATTTTTTTTTCAACACTAGTTTGATATAAAATGAAAGCATTAATAATCACTGCAATATTGTTTTCATCTTTTCAGTTAACTATACAAGTTGATCCACTAAAATTTATGAAAACCATTATTAATAATCAAGGTTGGGATTCTTTTAAAAAAACTAAAATAATTGAAGAAGATAGAATAATTTCGTTCAATGATTGTTTGGGAACAAATGAACCAATTTATCCACATATTATTTGTTCAATAATTAGTTGTCAATACACTCATTTATTACTCACGTACGCGGCTTTGATTGAAAATTTAGCCAATGAATTTAAAACTTTAAAAAAAAGAGTCGAGATTAATAAAGCTCTCGAGAAACTGTATAATATTATAACGAATATTCAAGATCGAACAAAATTTATTGAAATAGGAATCAATTATGGACGATTATTAGAAGATAATTATTTCCAAGAATCATTTCTTTGTACGCCTTTAAAAAACTTGTACGAAAATATAAACAAAATAACAACTCAGCCAATTTATGTGATAATTTTATTGAATAATAAAAACTTTGTTGAAAAAATCGATACCTTTATAGAACCCCTTAACATCTTTAAAAAAGAAATATATGACAATATAATTGGAAAATTTTGTGTCGAACAACAAGATTCTCCCGTACCAGATTTAGAATTTTTAAAAAAGAAATATGAGAATAATAAGAATACTGAAACTTTTGAAGCTTTTCTTCTAAATATGATAGTAAAATATCCCTATGAATGCGAAGTAAAATATTTTTCAAAAATAGGACTATCTCTGCGACGTAATCGCGTTTTAAAAAAAACAAATTGGTCAGAAAATAATTATGTTACAACAATACTATAAACATTTGGTAATTTTTATTAATTGAATCTAAATTTTTAATTTATTTCAACTGTTTACATTTAAATATTCCTTATTTTATTGAGTAAATTTAATCCTGTTAAAATTTTGTTACTTGAATCAATATTACAATCTTAGTCTAGAACGTTTTCATTATTATTTCAGTTGATCTTATAAACATTAAGTCAACAATCTCTCTAGGTAAAAATAATAACTAGTAAAATGTTTTTGAAAATGTATGAATTCATTCTATTGAATATATTAAATAAAAATGATTAATGTGAAAAATTGAAAACTTAGTAATTATAATTATGTTTCTGTTTTTACTATAATTTTTCTTTACATTATACAAATTTAAATAAATTATGTTAAATGTTTATATATAAAGACAAATTTACTCTAATAGATATTATATATAAATAAATATTGTTAAACTAAAAAAATTAATCTTAAAAACATTATTTTAATGTTTAATATTAGTAATAGAAGCTTAAACATTTTCAAGACTAGTTAAAAAATGTAAAATAAAAAGGGTTTTTAAAGTTTTATACAGAACATTAAATATTCAGTATTGTTTAATAATTTTGATAATAATTAGCAGTATTACTGTATCACGATTGTTTAAACTCACATTAGTCACCATTTGATGATTAATAATAATCATGATTGTTATCAGTTATGACTTTGAAATTTTAATTATAATAAATGTTCAATGGTCACTTCTTAAAATAAATAAAGGTAAGGGAAGACGGAATTACAATATAAAATATGATCTAAATAATATAAATGAACAATGATCTGAATAAAATTTTAATTGGTCAACAACCAGTTTTGTAATATTTCTTTTTGAAATTTTTTTTTTTTTTGTCATCAACCGATCAGTCAACATTTTATTTACACTATAATAAATGATTCAAAAATTCCCATAGTTTAGTGTGATATTTGTAATATATGCGTTACATTTACACACCAACAGTACCAATATAAAGTATCGAAAATTCGTATACAAATATAACAATTTTTTCACAATTTATCAAAATTTACTCTTATTATATGTATGTGATAAAACTTTTTGAACGTGTATGCAAAAAATAAGACATAGTTTAAAAGTGTATATCAATTTCCATTTAGTAGTAAACAAGATAATAGATTCCTATTTAACGTTCATAAAAAGCCATTTAAATCTACCTTTAGAAATAATTTTTCTTTGCAATAAACTTGATTTTTTTTTATGGTTCAAACAAATAAATTAAATTTTAATCTGTTCATTTATATGAAACAGTCGTTATTTAATGAATGTGGGGATATATTCCTAATAAATCACATTGTATATACGTTTTTAAGTTTATACTTTATATAACATTGACAACATGTATAACTACATATTATCTATTTTTAGCTAGTTAAATATGTATATTGCAATTTAAAAAATTAAGCAGATACTTTTGTTAGGTATAAGGACTGAACTAAAAAAGTACCACTTAAATTATAATATAATTTGAGACGCATATGAAACTAAAAACAGCCTGAAAAACATTTCCATAATTTGATTAACTTTGTAAATAATTGATAGTAAAATAAATAAAATAATAATGAAACAATTAACAACATTATGCTAAGAAAGTGACTTCCAGTATTTTGTCTAACAAAACAAAAAGTTATAAAAACTTTACACATATTTTACCTTTTCAGTACTTTGCTTATTTAACTATTATTTCCAATATGTTTCTATTCCCTTTTTTGCAAATTTTGCAGACGTTGTTAAAAGTATTTTTAAAATAACCATATACTAGTTATCACGATTAAAAGTTATTTAACTACATTAAATTTAATAAAAAATTATTATTTCATTTGTAATTTAATATACATTGTTAATACAAAATCTATATATAAAAATTATTATGTTAAATCATTATTTTCAAATAAAATATTCACAAAAATATGAAATAGAGAAAAAATGTTTTTTAATTTAAAATATTATTTAAAAAATTGTGTTCTTCAACCATTGCCTCAAGCACATCTATGAAATGGGAATCTAATCTCCAGAAGTTTAAAAATTAGCCATTTTGAAAATTCATAAATTATTTATATTGTAATGTAGGAGGGTAAAATTCTTAAAATTAAGGAAATTCAAGAAATGCCCAAAATTTAAATAGAAATACACAAAAATATGCATATCATATAATCATATCACATTTTTTCTTTTTTTTAATTTTAAAATAGAAATTTTTATATTTTTAATTTTATGGGAAATTTTTGATTAAGCAACTGTTTGTACTAGCGAGGGGTAGAAGTTGCATTTTTTAATAAACAATTTTAATTATGGTGAATATTAATGTAAATTAAAAAATTTTAACTTATAATTACTAGTCAGGAGAAGATGTAGAAACATTTTTGTAGGTGATTATTTACTTATCTTGAATGTTATTGCATCTAAAAGATGCGATAACATTATATATGTACCCAAAAATTTGTCCGAAATCTATATAATTAATATCAAAGACGATATAAATCAAAGAACAAATTAGTTTTTGAAATTTCACTTATTTTGGGGATTTTGTGGTACAAGACCTCTGGATCCACCATTAATAAAAATATTTATTAACTGTATGTATGCCAGGAATAGACAATTTTCTAAATTCTGAGTACTAATTCTTATGATCAATGAAATACCAAATATTTTTATCTCGCAGCTTCATATGTTGTTAAATCAAAATTTTACAATCATCAATTATTTCATCGGCCAGGTGGTCGTAGAGTTAGTCGGAAGACTGATTACTAGTAAATGAACTATATGCGGTAGCAGTATAATCGACCGGAAACTGGTTGAGAGACCAGGTGTATATTGAGCACCAACTACATTAGACATAACACCAATTATATTTGAAAAGGTCAATCGTACTCGAAGATGATCAGGAGCTAAAATGAATGGCCGCACTAGTAATTTCTCAATGTAAAAACAAAACGACCTGATTCAAAAATGATTAATTGTCATTTCTATGGACGTAGTACGTACCCATTAACAGTTTTAATTGCGCGAAGACCGCAACCAACTTAATTTTTTTCCAACGACTCTTAATGGCATTTTAATTGATTTTTACAGTGGTCATATAAAATAATAATAATTTTCCATAAAATTCTATAAGTGTCTACAGTAAAAAGAGGAAATCTATAGACATTATCTAATCTACAAAACTTATCCCAACAAAAACAAAATGCTCTCTTCTTTCAAACGCAAATGGACTAAATTTTTTTTATCAAAAAGCGTTTGCATTTAATTTACCTAAATTTCACAACCTGTAATTATGCACTAAAAAAAGTGCTATAAGTATTATAAAGTACTTTTCAATATAGTAAAATAACTTTATTTGCCAAGTTTTCTTTTTTGTGCATCGAAATATTTGTTGATACGATGATAAGTATGTACAATTGTAAGTATATATTGCCCTGATGGTATTAAGCTCGAAAATATATTGATTTTTGAAAATATTTGATAAATAAAGATACATTAGTGTACATCACTTAGTTGCACTATTAAATTTTGTCTAAATACTCATTTGAGTAATAATCACCAGAAATATTGAAATTCACGAAAATTTCAAAATTAATTTTTAACTAAATGAAATTTTTTTTTCACGAGATCTATTTATACAACTACTTTTAAAAATGTTTAACATTTAAGAATAGTAATATATTTTAATATATTTAATTATTTAAATTTATAGTTTATTTTTCTTTGGAACTCAGTAAAATGTTTGATTGTTTTTACAGTTGATATAAAAATAGCAACGACCAAAATAGCATAGCGATATAATAATATTTTATAGCTGTTTCGTATTCGGTTGATATAAAATAAAATTAGGGAAGATTAGGGCAAGTGATACTCTCAAGTTTTAATTGAAACTCTTAAAGAAAGTATCTACCAAACATTTTGTAAAAATACTACTTGATATATTGTGATCAATTACAAAATATATAAAAAAACCCCACTTTCCCCGTTTTATTTTTATTCAATAACCTATAGTACTCCCTTTATTTGAGTAATACTTAACATTTCAAATACTCAGTTTCTTATAACTTGAAATAGGAATAAAAGTTTAATTTAACCTAAAGAATTATTTTTCTGTAAAAAGGTTAAAGTTTGTTAATTATGTCTGTAAGTTGCGCCTGAATATGTACTGCAAATAATATGCAATACATGTAACAATGTTTTAATATTAAAATTATTTAAGTAAATTTATAAATAAATTCAACGTTAATTATATCAGTAAGTAGTTATTGTGACTGGTGGTACAAATACTTAAATTTAAATTTGCTATTTTAAAGGTTTCATATTTAATTTTAAATACTCTGTGAAATATTCAAATTTTTTTTGTATCACGAAATTTCACTAATTTAAAATACTTATATTTAAATAAAATTTTACTGTGAAAAATAAAATGTCTTACAAAATCACATTTTTTAAAATATTTCCAATATATTTTATTTTCACACTACATATTAATGGTGAAAATATTTATGTAACTAAAATTACAAATCAACCAGGATGGAAGTTATTGGAAAACATAGATATAATTGATGACGGAAAAAAATTATCACATCAAGACTTCAACAATCCGAACAAAAAGTTGAAACTCACTGAAAGACATGTTCATTTTTTTATCACGTGTAAGTACGCACATGTATTACAAACCTATGTAACATTAATTGATTATTTGGCAATTGAATGTAGAGTTAATCTATTAAAGGAAAGAAATGATAACGATTGCGTTTCAGCACTTTTTTTTCGGGTAGCTTCTACTGAGGCTAGAACTAATTTTATTCCAAATGGATTACACTTGTTGAGAATTTTCTTTGGTGATCTGAATCCTTCATTTTTAGATCCACTGTTGCATAATTTATATGAAAATTCGGAAGGTAAAAAAGTAGCCAAATTGTTTAACATACTTGAACATAGCATTGAAAAAGGCGACGTAAACTTGAAAGATCATTTTGACAAAGCTTTATTACCAATTTACACTCTAAAAAATTATCTAGAGGATGTTGTAATGAAAAATTATTGTAATGTTAACCAAAATTCGACTCTACCAACATATTATGAGTTGAAAAACACAATGAACCAGCAGAAAATTAAAGACTTAACTTTTTTTACATTCCTAGAAAATTACATTGATAACTATCTTTTAGAAAGCCAGTTAAACTATTCCAACAAATTTAGTTTTGAATTTAAAAAAAAAATTTACACCTGAAAATTTAA